CTGACTTCATACAAAAGATGTTGTCTAGAAGGCCAATGAACGCGTCGCAACTGAATCATTCAGCTTAGTGAATACAACCTCATCTAAAACATCCACCAATGCTACAACCCCTACCAAATATTGTATGATTCTCTTACTTAATATGAATGAACTACGTTTAGTCTCAACATAACTTAGTATCAATGCTATGTAGATAAACGTTTTCGTAGCCGTAATTTCAAAAAGGCTGTCTAATTTCATGCGAACCAACACGAACTACAGACAAAAGATACCTATGGCCAAAAGCCTATAATTCTTGTTGTTGTTTCTGATAGTGTTTATTATATTGTAGCTACTAGTCCAGACATTGTCATTACCTTGGCCATCTAGGTTCGAATGATCCTCAATTGGTTGTGGAAGTTTCCTAAATTTAAGTTGATATTCTATTTGCTATTATATTTTTATTATAATTTATGCATCTTTACTATCCCGAGGACCACAACCACACACCAGTCTACACATTCCCACGTCTCCAGTTGGCTAAAACTAACTGTTGTGGATTTCATCGACTGATGAGACTGTTGTTTTGGTTTGACTACCACTGGCTCCTTTTCAACCTGATCCATCCTGTCAGCTAACATTGCCCGTAGAGGAGGGTGACGACTAGGCTAACATACGTAACACATGCCCTAACACCATCTCAATCGATGTAACCTCACAACTTTATCGATTGATTTCCCCTCCTCATTACTTAACACTCGACCTGCGTCTAACCTCAACGTTGCTCACCCTACTATACCAACACTTCAAACGGGAGATAGAACTCAGGCGCCTGTGATCAAAGACAGCTAACTAGGCTTTCCATGTCTTCTACTCTAAATGGCCAGGTCTCACAGACAAAGAGGTGGATGGAGCGAATTTCTAAGCACTACTCACGTCTATTGGTCGATAACTAGCAGGATATCACGTCTACGCTGGAGACGGTGTAAACTGGCATATGTGAAACTAGCCTTTTGTATCCGTGCTGAGATTTCGTTAGCTATCAAATCCGTTGGCACTGGCTAATGCAACTTCCCAAAAATAATTGAAGTGGTGCACACGCTCACACTACTTACACTGGATTGAATAGCCGTCTAACGGCACTGTTGAGGTAATTTTGAGTTTTTAGTGTTATCAATATGTTGTTTTTGTTGTTGAATAGGACAGCAAATTTACTAAAGAATAATCATCTTTTTCTTGTTTTTAAAATTTTTCGTGACTGTATGTTTCTGAAAGAATTTCCAGACAGCTTTATATAGTAGAACATAGAAGTCGGTTTTGGTCGGTAAAACTGCAGTACACACACATACACACACACACACTATAAACTGAATTATAAAATGAAACATTTATATACATAAATATCAGTTAGTCATTCATTCACTAACTTCTACCTCAATTTTATCGACTTTGAAAACGCCTTCGACAGACACTATTGACCAAGAAGTAATTTGAAACGAATTCAACACTATGGTGTGCAATGCCCTACATCTTTCTTTATCACAACCTCATTCAATAGCTGGCTGTATGACAATGCCATGTGTCAGGTGATCCCAAAAAGGCAAATTTCAACTAACTAAGCGTCTGAAGTGAATACAGGAATAAGACAAGTTTGCCGACTTCCTAATTAAGGTGGACTGGATTATGCGGAAGAGCGTGGTGCATCGGAGTGAGGCGTAAGGAATACACTGGACGACGACCAATAAGAAGACTCTAGAAGATCTGGATTTCACTTGTGGATGATATATGTCTAGCCACCCCTCCGTACACCTCTTGAAATGCTCCCATATGACCGTGCGTCTTACATAGCCTCTCCTGAGGAAGTCCTACTCACTGCCTTCACGTGGCGGAAGTGTTTATTTCACCGAAGTGAGAGGGCGAAAGCGGATGCCCGGCGCTCTTCACCGGGTTGACTGTCCATTGGATGACAGTCTAGGGGAGATGGCTAAACCCTGATTCCAAACCTCCAACGACTGGCGTATGAAGCTCACCGGCAGACGTATGGACAAAGGGCTTATTGGATGCCACGGATGTCTGGCCCCATTCAAAAAGGCGTATGAACTGGACTCCGGTCACCGGCTGGCTGCCAATGGATAGTGGACTCCCTACTCCACTCCTACTGCCTTGTAGGTCACACTTGGTTGTGTAAAGGCTAGAGATGTACTCTCAAACAAAAGACCGAGCGATGCTGGGGACATCACTCGTACCCAATTCCCATGAAACTTCATCAACTCTCTTACAAACATTCGAGATGTTCATGAAGCCGGTTCATCCTCCCGTAGGAGATAGCCGAAGTAAAGTAAAGTAAGTAAGTGTCAAACAAACCCGAAGACTTGCAGGCAGGTGAAAACCAACAAACTAGCTGAAGAGGCTGCTGGCAGCGAAAACAGGACTGCAGGTGAACAAACCAAAGACGGGTGGAGGTGATGAAGATAACTAACGAACCACCACCACAACAACAACAACCAGCACCAACCACCATCAACGAGTGAGATTTAACAGAGCTTACTTCAATCAACTATCTAGGAAACATTGTTTCAAACGTAGACAGTCGAAACAGATGAAGATATTAAAGCCAACCAGGATCGGAAAGGCAAGATACGCCTTCATCAACCTTAGCCAGTTCGGAAATCTTAAGCATAAAGAACAAGGAGGTTCAGATTTTCAGTACCAATGTTTAGTTGTTGAGTTAGTTCTGTTATTGATATGTATCCACATATATATATTTATGTGTGTGTGTGCATGTTGGTCTCTCTTTCTGTTTGCTCGCTTAGTCTGTGACCATTTCACTTGTGTGAACTTGTCTCCTTTATTAATGTGTATTCTCCTTATATTATATTATATATAATATGAGTGTTTGTTGACAGTCTGTCGCTTAGTGACATATATCCATATTATATGTGTGGTTGTTGACATGTCTGCTATATTCGCTATGTATATTTGGATCGACACTTCATTATAATTAGCCATCCATGTTAAGACTGTCTAATGATTTTTCCCACGCTTTGTCTGGAACATTCATATATATTTCGCATTCACAATTTGTGTAACTACTTTACTTTACTTATTTACCACTTTGGTGTGAGACCATTTTTATTTTCGTCTCCTTGTGTTTGGACAATAGAAGTATCATCGCAAACCTAGTGGTCTTCTGATTTCCGCCTTCTCGCGTCAGGACTATTAGTTTCTCGACCAGACCATAACAATAATTTAGCGACGAGTACATAACAGTTATGTAGGTGAGAAATGTGGCGAATGTGTCATGAAAAGCATTTCTAATAGCCAGTTGCAACCGTTTATCAACAACTGCTCTCCCTTAGATAGTTGCATATACTGGAGACCATATGTCTGGAACTTATTGCACAACGAAAAACATAAAAGCAAATGGAGATGAGGAGTGGAAACACATCACTGAGGAGACCGTCGAATGACATCGTCCATTAGGCATCACTTCGAGTTGAATCTGAATGGGAAGAGGCGACGACTGCGTCATCGATGCGACGGTGATATGGAAGAGATCGTGTGGTGAGGAAAAGAATGGAGATTATGGCTAGTCATGCGCCCAGTTGAAGAGGATGGCAGCAGGTGTTATTGAAGCCCCGTATGTTCCACTCGTGGAACTCAAGGGCAAATAATGATAACAATAAACATTCAATCATTTCATTTCATTTATGAAATAAATAAATAAATATATATATATATGAATATAAATAAATAAAATAAGATCAAATAAAGTACAATACAAATACAAAAATTCTGCTTAAATGATTCAACACATATAATATAAGTAAGTCAGTAAATAAGTCAGTAGAAAGGGTATACGAATAGTAATAAAGTACTTACTACACAATGTGAAGATTAGTTATTATTATTATTATTATTCACAGTCAAGTTGATTGACTTCCTTACCTCACACACGTGTCCAACGTCATCTCGACGGTGATGGTAGTAATATTAATGCGGTGAAGATGAAAATAATCATTATAATACGATGAACAGTAGTAGCATACTACTGATAATGATGACATTAGCAGTAGTTATACAAAGCGCATGTAAAAAATAAATATAAGGGGGTAACATACACTGTGTTTCATTCATATACATCAAAAATAAGGGAGCGAAGAAGAAGAACAAGAAGCGTCAATCGTATGCATTCCAGGAAGATGAGGTTAGAATTTCTTGTCAGTTGGGAGCTAACCAGCGCTCACTGACATGGGAACTGGACGGCAGGTAGTAGGGGGCGGCGGGAGGAGAACAGATGGGCGGTGTGTAGATAAAAAATAAGAGAAGAACAATGAAACTGCAAAAGAGTTTGAATAACCTAAGCAAACAAAAATACAGACTGTGAGTTATGACTGCAACTCATTTATTTACGCATTGTCCATCTGAGAAAATCACTTTTCTTTGGAGATTGATGATGAGCATTGCTGTTAGTATTATTATTGTTATGACTATTCGAAGGTGAGGAATGATTTTTCTCTGCTACAGATCGTTGAAACCAATTCGATGAAGAATCGTGTTTATTGAAACTGCGTCTATGCATTTGTTTATCTAGAGAAATGTGAAGTACATTGGCGCGTGAATAAAGTAATTTAAAAACATTTTTTAGTAAGTACAACAATTAAAAACAAAATTATACATGCATATACACAACTACACAAAGGTACACACACACACATGCACACGAAACGAAGAAGAAGGTAGTTGAATGCCTCATGGATACGAGATGTGGGAAAAACACGAACATGCAAAAACACTGGACAGTGAAACTGTCCGCTGTAAAATAAAAAACCTTTGACATGATAATTTACTTCACGGAACAAAGTCAACATCGGCAGTTACATTATTATTATTATTTTATGACGTAATGTGGTGAGAGCAGGCCGTGAGAAAATATGTACAAGGCTGATTTAACAACCAATCACAGCAAAGTTAACGTGGCAAAATATGATTCACAGATAGAGAACTCTATTTGTCGAGGAATCCCGAAACAACCAATCAGAAGCCTGCGTTTGTCTGCCTAACTTCTGATAAACAACTAATCAGATGACTGCGTTTGTCTACTTGCATAAGCTGTAATAATGTATGTGAAATATGTATAAATACGTGTTGATTTTCATAATAAAACGATCTGTTGCCTGGCCCTTGTCTTCTGCTGTTACAGTAATATCTGCGTCGAAACGAGTCTCAAAGAAAATAACTTCCAGGGTTATTGTGTTGTATACATTTTCAACACTATCTATCTTGGAGAGAGAGAGAGAGAGTAAAGGATGCACCAGATACAGAACTCTGTCAGCCCCACCAGAACAAGCTGTCTGGATTCAGGAAAGGCAAATCATGTGCGCTGATCAAATCGCAACTCTACGCATCGTCATCACAGAACAAAGCATAGAATAACAGTCAAACCTCTACCTCAACTTCACCGACTTCGAAAACTCTTCGCACAGACAGCATTGACCGAGAAGTAATTTAGAAACTGCCTCAACACTACGGTGTACCTTAAGTCTTTGTCAACCTCATTCAACAGCTATATGACAATGTCAGTGTCAAGTTGTAACAACAGAAGACAAGGGCCAGGCAACAGATCGTTTTATTATGAAAATCAACACGTATTTATACATATTTCACATACATTATTATAGCTTATGCAAGTAGACAAGCGCAGTCATCTGATTGGTTGTTTATCAGAAGTTAGGCAGACAAACGCAGGCTTCTGATTGGTTGTTTCGGGATTCCTCGAAAAATAGAGTTCTCTATCTGTGAATCATATTTTGCCACGTTAACTTTGCTGTGGTTGGTTGTTGAATCAGCCTTGTTCATATTTTCTCACGGCCTGCTCTCACCACAAAGTGATCCACAACGGAAAACTCAGGGAGGTGTTCAAAGTGCATACGGGAGTAAGACAAGGTTGACTGCCCTATTATCAACAATGATATTCTTAATTGTGGTGGGCTGGATTATGCGTCAGACTGTTGGGGAAGAGGAGTCAGGATTACGCTGAACTACGACCGATAAGTAGACTCTAGAAGATCTGGATTTCGCTTGTGGATGATATATATATCTGATGTCATACAAACTCAAAGAACTGCAAGTATAAACCAACAAACTGGCTGAAGAGGCAGCGAAAACAGGAGTGTCCAAGTGAACAAAGAGAAGGCGGAGATGATGAAAATAACCAATCAACATCAGCAACAACAACCAGCACTAGTCACTATCAACAGGAGAGAGATTTAGCAGAGGTTGCCTCCTTCACTTATCTGGGAGGCATCGTTGCAACTACAGGCGGGACGGCTGAAGATGTCAAAGCCAGTCAGTCAGAATTGGAAAGGCAAGATACGCCTTCATCAACCTGAAACCAGTTTGGAAATCTTCTACACTCAGGATAGAGAACAAGATTCGGATTTCTAACACGAATTTGAAGTCGATCCTTCTACACTGGTCAGAAACCTGCACTGCGTGTCACGAAAAGGATTTCCAACAGCCAGTTGCAGACGTTTATCAACAGCTGCCTTCGCTGGCTCCATATTGAAGATCAAATGGCCAAATTCAAGTAAGCGCTTAAACCAAGTAACCTTTATCACAAAAATTTATAATTACTAATGATAGTATAGTAGTACTGGTAAGTAACGTTTCTTGATACGAACAAAAAATGAAAACCAACGACTTAGAATTCAAAGTTTGACAATAGATTGATATCAGTTAGAGAACTACTGACAACCAACAAGAAGTAGTGGACAGCTGTTTCGTCCTAGCCTGGGGCTCATCAACAATACACAACAACCGCCAGAGTTCAAACCTATCACCTTTAGGATTACAAGTAAAGCTACTTCGTAGATCATTCAGACACTGCAACTCTACTCAACAGCGTGACTGGTGGCATCAACCAATGTCATCTGTGGAGAGTAATTGTCTTCACTTCCAACCTGTTAGTAAAATCCACCAACTGGTCACGACGTCTCACTAGAGACTCCATCCTGCAGCCAGCCAGTCTACTAGCGAATACCAGTTTGATTTCCAGGAGTTTGTTGTTACGGAATTGATGTGTATTTCAATTTTCACCACGGATTAATATCGGAGTAAGATAACTATTGAAAACAAGTAGTCATAGAAAGTACTGGACAGGTGTTTCGCACTACTTTAGGACTCATCATCAGTGCGTACATACCGCTAGGGGGTTCGAACCCAGGAGCTTAGGCTTCCATGTGGCATTCATATAAGAGTGCAGTAACTAAGTAACAACATAAAGGTATCAATATACGCATAGTATTCGTAATGCTATGTGCTAACTACTGAATGAATGAAGACATATTCTCACAGTATGCGAAAGAAACAAGGATGCACACTATATGCATATACCTACCATACAGGTACATCAAGAAAACAATGGAAGAGCATTCCTAGTTATACAATATTTATTACATACACGAATACAAAGAATAAAAGACACACAGACAAACACGAAGGAGTACTGACTACACATAGGCACGCAGAAACACACACACACTTTACCTGTGATACTCTGACTTTATGATGGTTCTGGAATCAATAAAATATTTCAGTATAAAAAAAACCAAACTCTTTATAGGAAAAACCAATAAAAACAAAACTGTATGCTTTAATTTAAAGATATGCCGAGATATAATTCGTTAGGGTACAAACAACAAAAAGCAAAAAATAATAAAGTTCAACTTATGTACTGATTTTTAGTAATACTTCTGAAAATATCCAGCTATCAGATCACAGTGTTTTACAGTCCACAGTAGGGAATCCTATACTTTTAGAAACCGACTGACAGGTTTTTTTAAACATCGAACTTGTCACAGAAATGCATCAGTTCCAGTTGCCACACTTCCTCCATGTATCACACAATGGAAGAAAAGAGACAATAAGCAGCATAAATATGAGGAGATCTGGACTAAACCGATGATATATGTCTGATTTCCCACAAACTGGAAGATATGCAAGTGAAAGACAATAAGTTGGCAGAAGAAGCATCAAAGATAGGACTTCAAGTGAACATGGATAAAACAGAGGTAGGTGATGAAGATTCCTGGCCAACACCAACAACAACAACAGACAACAATCAGCATAAATGAGGGGAACCTGAAAGAAGCAACCTCCTTTACCCACCTGGAAAGCATCGTTTCAACTACAGGCCGACGGAACTGATGAGGATATCACAGTGTGAGGATTGAGAAAGCAAGACAACCTTTCATTACTCTCAAGTCTCTGTGGAGGTCAACAGCACTCAGCATAAAATATAAGATCCGGATTTTCAACTCCAATGTGAAGTTAGTGCTACTTGCTATACGGATCAGAGACTTGGCGCGTCATAAAGAGCATCTCAAATAAACTACAGACCTTCATTAACAGTTGTCTTCGCTCAATACTACTCAAGACCAAATGCCCAGAAAAGATTAGCAATAGGGATCTCTGGGAGCGAACCAACCAGGAACCGATTGTGCACAAATATGCAGGAAGAAATGGAGGTGGATTAGCCATACGCTGAGGAAAACATCAAGTTACACCACTAGACAAGCCATCGAGTAGAACCCGGAAGGGAAGCGGCGAGTTGGTCGTTAGTGCAAGGGTGACTTGAAGGAGGTCATGTAAAGAGGAGATGAAAGCATGTGGGCAGACTTGGAGCTGGGTGAATAAGTTGGCAGAAAACCGAAGGCAATGGAGACGCACAGCTGAAGCCCTATGTTACTCTAGGAATTAAAGGATATAATAATAATAATAATCTTTAGGGACATTCAACCTATCAGATATTGATTATCTTTTTATCGTTCAAATTTCCGCGGATGTTTAAACGATATTTTTATACTCTACATTGTGGATAATAAAGGTTATTGCTGTTGTTGTTGCAGATGCCGCTGTTGACTCAGTTCAATTTGACTTATGTGTCTGTCTCAGTGTGAGGGAGTATTTCTAAGTGATCAGTTGGCTACAATGTCTGGAGGTGCACTCTAGTCGAGTTAGACAACAATCACTAAACATTTTTACATTCGATCCCTCAATCTACTTTCACTGGTAGTGTTATTTCTCTGTCATGACCTCGATAGATCATATAACCAGGGGAAAAAAACTTTTTTTTCACAACATCATCACCAAATTACCTGTTACTATCCGACTGTCAGTGACACACGCTAAACCGTTGGATAGATGATGTTGATGTGCTAGCGGCTTCACACGGGAAGAACGTCGTCGAACAATCAGTCGCATTGTATTACCACCACGTTGAATAATTTCAATAGCTTGTCCGTGTGACATACCAATAGTTGAATAACCATTGATTTCAACCAACTCATCACCAACCTGAATATTGTGTAGTAAAACAAACAAATACACCAAATGAAAATAATAATAATAATTTAGAATCACAGGTTACGAGACCGAATTCTTCGAAATTCTCATGTGAGTTAGTTTGTGGGGATTTGATATATTTCATGTTTGACCACGGACTGATTTTCGGTCATAACACGTGACACCCATAGGGCAGGGTTCAAACCCCACATACACACACACCCCGACCTTCCAGTTACAGGCCAAGCTGGCACGTAGACCATACCACTGGAACACAACTCAAAGGCGAGCCCAACAACTCTAACTTTTACTGATTCGTGACTTTTGAGCGACTTGGGGCACCACCATCCAATGTGTCATCACTGGAGAAGCGAGTATTTATCCTCACTTCTAACCTGTTGGGGTGAACTCCACGAAATGATCGCGACATCTCTCACTAGAACTCCAGTCAACTTTGTCCTGTAACCAGCCAGCCAACCAGCCAGTCACTAACGAGTATCAGATTAATTTTCAAGAGTTATCACGGATTGATTGTTATTGTTTGTTGGAATTCGTCATAATCCCTACAAAAACCAATAATCCACAGATTAATCTCCAGGATATGAATGGTTACTGGATAGATTTCAACAAACTATGGGGTCCACCATGTGTCAAACAGAAGTTGATGTCCACCGAAGGCAATGCTAAGAGTAAGTAACTGCATACCATTGTGGTGACAGCTGGCTGTTAGTCAAAATTGGTGGACAGTAATTTACGTCAATGTTTATGTCCCCAATATTGGTTGTGAGAAAAATGAGAACAAAGGCTTTGCGTAGGCGGATACAATTAACATATAGATGATGATCTGACATTCAAGAAACAGCCACAAAGAGATGCAAGGTCAACTTTCTGTAAGAAACAACCAATCAGAAGACTGTGTTTTTTTTCTGCTAACAATAATCTATAATATGTACATGAAGATCTATAAATATGTGTTGATTTCCTTAATAAACGATCTGTTGCCTGGCCCTTGTCTTCTGTTGTTACACTACTACTGCTCAACACAAAGTTGCCAAGTCAAGCATAAAATACCTTGTAATGATAATAAAATAATAGTAGAAATAACAATAATATTAATAGTTAAACTTATATCATAGAAAGAAACAGAATTATAGTAAGAACTTTATTCTGGTCACGGCAGGGGGAAACAGTATTCGCTCCCGCCAAATGCAAGATGATGTTACAGGACTGGACTACGCTGGCTCCTAGTTTAGAAATAGGAAGTGAAGTGGTAGAGCACGTTGACCGCTTCACTTATTCGGGAAGTACCATCAGCCCCAACGGGCTGATCTCTGACGAAATCTCAGCACGAATACAAGGGGCTCGTTTCGCATTTGTTAGTTTACGCCGACTCTGGCGTAGACGAGATGTTCGACTATCGACCAAAGGGCGGGTGTACTGCTCATCAGTCCGCTCCGTCCTCCTTTATGGTTGTGAGACCTGGCCACTCAGAGTGGAAGACATGAAAAGACTAGCTGTCTTTGATCATAGGTGCCTGCGTTCTATATCCCGTGTAAAGTGGCATAATAAGGTGAGCAACATGGAGGTTAGGCGTAGAGTCCTAGGTAAACAGGGGAAATCAATCGACGAAGTCGTGAAGCTACATCGACTGAGATGGTTAGGACATGTGTTACGTATGCCAAGCCATCGCCTCCCTCGACGAGCAATGTTAGCGGATATAGGGTCAGGCTGGAAAAAAGCTAGCGGCGGTCAAACAAAAACTTGGCATCAGTCAATGAAATCCACAACAGTTGGTCTTAGCCACGTAGGAAGGTGTAGACTTCCAGGCTGGGGTCCTCGGGACGGCAAAAATCTATGGTTGGAAACAATTGGTGACATGGCTCAAAATCGTTCTCAGTGGCGCAGATGCATCCACTCCCTGTGACTTATGATCTCCAATGAAACTGTTTTGTATTTCTTTATTACTCCTTTGTCTCACACCTCTGCTCACTGTTTCTATTTGCTTTTCTTGTACTTTCTTCTCGTGCTTCGCGTGCTACACGGAATGTGGCGACTTGAACTTCCGCACATTTGTGCAAAGTTCTATGTCGAAAACAGACAGACAGTATATGTAGCGGTTTTGAATGCAGAGGTCCGTTGCATTTACTCACCCCCTACCAAGGCCACAGTTAAGTTCTTACCACAATATGGCTTCTTCTTTTTATTATGTAACTTCACTATTACTATTGTTATTATTATTATTATTATCATTATTATTCCCATCATCCATATTTTATTACCTACTACTCTAGAACACTGCATCTGTCATATAGATTTTATATAAAAACACTTTATTGCCTTTCTACTAGTTCCTGTCCACTCTACACAATCATACTACTGATTAGTCATTATGTCACACTTATTACGTCATGCCGACTTCTACCCCCTTCCTCTATAACTTCCAACTAGTCATCCCTTTTAGGTTGCATCGTACACATTACGTAATGCAACTCCATATTAGCTACTTCATTAGATGTATCACACAGTGAAACAGTGTTATTTACTGGATGACGTTTCGAACAAAATTTATTGTTCATAATCATTGCATCAATTGTAATCTCACGACTTTGAAACTTGAGTTTTATAGTTTTCTTTTCCTTCTGTTATTTGTCGTAGGGGTAGTAGGATTTTCCAGATATCTGAGCAGACAGGTGTTGAATCATTCCTTCTGTTATCAATCTCTCCCTCCGTCTACCCTGCCACAACATAAGATTTTAAAACTGTCATCCTATCCCGTCCTATTATACGGTTGTGTGTAATTGCATGTAGTGAGTAGGATAGCTGAACTATTCGCTAGATTTCTTATCTTATTTGGGTCAACCAATCTAGATTTTGCTGCTAGGTTTTTATGTTCAGCTAGTCTGACTGCCCCGGATCTACTACTTTGACCTACGTACTTGACCTGACGATCATCGCAGGTTGGGTATTAGATAAACTAAATTGTTTTGTTTTAAAGGCTCCACAGGAGTGATACAAAGCTTGTTTCTCATAGTTTTTGGGGGTTTGAATGCCACTTTTATTCCTACTTTGTTAAGAAATCTGAGTAAGGTTTCCGAGGTTCCGTCCGGGTTCCACACGAGGACTTGTCAAGTGATGTCAGTTGATGGTTTCTTCAGCGTATGACCAATCCATCTCCATTTCTTCCTGCCTATTTGTTGAACGATCGGTTCCTGGTTGGTTCGCTCATTGCCAGAGATCCCTAATGCTGATGTTTTCTGGCCATCTGATCTTGAGTATTGAGCGAAGACAGCTGTTAATGAAGGTCTGTAGTTTGTTTGAGGTGCTCTTTATTACGCGCCAAGTCTCTGATCCGTATTCACATTGGTGTTGAAAATCCAGATCGTATTATGCATGCTGAGTGCTGTTTGACCTTCATACAGACTTGAGAGTAATGAAAGGTAGTCTTGCTTTCCCGATCCTCGCTTTGATATCCTCGTCAGTTCCGTCTACCTGCAGTTGAAACGATGCTTCCCAGGTAGGTAGGCAAAGGAGGTTGTTTCTTTCAGGTTCCTCTAATCACAATATTTATACATGCGCGCTTATTTACTGAACATCAAAACTTTACTTATTTTAGAAACATACTTTTAATTGACCATCCATTTGAGCCGCACCACCATCTGCAATACGTAGTACTACAAGCGGCATCCGATTAAATTCTTGTCCACCACGAATAGAAAAACCAAAACCTCGACTACCACGAAACAATGTCACCGGGAATTCAACTGAATCTCTTATCGGCAGAGGATGTTTACGTCCACGTGAAGCTGAGCCTAAAAAGATTTTCAAAAAAAGCAACACATTAACGAGAAAACAATTACCATGGATGATAAAAAAAGTCTTATTTGCAGCGTGCTTTAAGTATTAGGTGTCGATACCACAACGGCAGAATGTTCGTTAACCACACAAAGGTGGTTCGAGGTTCGATCAACAGCCACCACACTCCTTCACCTCGCTAAGCCAGTAATAAGAGTGATGAAGAGGGAAGGTTGGGCATAGGGCTAGCAATCTATCCAGCTGCTTCATCCTAGTTTAGGACTCTTCAGAAGTACGCGCCCACCACGAGGATTCAAACGCAGGACATTTTAGTAACAAGGTGAGCTCATAGACGACTCAGCCATCGGGACCCGAACCAATAGTCGTCTCATGAATTCTAACTCCTATCGATTCACGACTGGCACGACCACTAGCGAATGTCATTGGTGGCGAGTATTTGTCCTCACACCCGACCTGCTGTATGTAGCCCGCTGGTCATGGCTTCGATTAGCGTGGTCGGGTCTCAGTGGCCTAATGGTCTGAGAACAAGTTTTGACTTGCAAATGGAAGGTCCAGGTTTGAAATCCTGATAGTGGGTGCGTACTGACGAAGAGTCCCGAACTAGGACGAAACAGATGTCCAGTACTCCCAGGTTTTTTAGTGGTCCTCTAACCGGTGTCAGTTCATGACGAAACCCTAAACTTTAATGATTAACCTTTTTTTCCCCATATAAATATACACGTTAACGTGAAATAATAACATCCCCAACCAATTCCATTCTCTTTAAATATTTATGTCTATTCTAGACTGGAAAGTTAAATACAAAAGTATAACTTTGATGTAAAAACAACTATGTCTGACTGAATGACTTTCTTATCACAAACTTATTTATTAGATTTAAGTTTTATAAAAAGATTTTATCTAAGACGATGACAACCAATTTCAGTGAATGTCTCAAGGATTCTTAAACTGTCATTAAACTCATTTAACTTGTATTAATCCCAATTGTAAAAAGAGATTCCCCCTCCCCTCCCCCCTCTATCTATCTCGCTCATCGATCTAGTGTAGAAAGGAGACAATATCACATACAAAGAAGACGTGTTTACTCGAAAACTGCTGGCAATTCCATACAGTTCACAATAAGCCATGCTTATCGAGTGAGGGATATTGATACTACCTGGTTAACCAAAGAAGTCATTATTAGGTAGGGCCGGTATTCGAAACGGGTGTTAAGCAAGCAGATCAACTAGTCACACATCTACACTGAAAATTCGGAAACTATTTCACAATCTGACAGGAAATCTAAGAATATTTAGTATATGTATATACATATATCAGTGTTTCCAATGTCGGAAACATTAGGTACCGTCACTGAGGAAACCTACAAGGAAGGACGCTGGGAACTCTCAGAAATTAACGTTGAAGTAATTCCATTATAGGTAAATTTTGTTTTGATAAAGTCTCACAGTGTTATACGGTAGTGTTTACTGATGACCACGTTTCGAGCACAATTTATTCCTCATAATCATATCAAGGTACTCACACAACTTCCTAACTTCATTTATATAGTTCCATTACTTTTCACTTGATTTTCACTTGATTTTATTGGTAGTAGTATTTTCCATATTTCGGGTATGAGTGATGAATCATTCATATCGCATGTGTTGGGTGTAGACTCGATGAACAAGGATTCAGTAATCAACCTCTCTCTCTCTCCACCTATCTGGATTACTTTTTAGAATTTTAACCTTCTCCCCCGCCCTATTATGTGGTTGTGTGTTAATGTATGCATTGCAATTGTTGAGCTTTTTTCTAAATTACTCATCTTCTCGAGGTCAACCATTCTTACCTTAGCTAAATTCTCGCATTCCGACAATATGACTACCCCAGACCTATTAGTTTGATCTCTGTAGTTGACCTAACTCAGTCATTGCATGGTATTTTGCAAATTATATTATTTTGTTTAATTGGGTCCACCGGGTCTTTTAGCCTACAAAGCTTGTCTTCCCTGAGTGAGTTTGTAGGTTTAAATGCCACCTTAATTCCTGCTTTATTTAGAATCCTACGTAGGGTTTCAGATGTCCCCTCTTTATAAGTTATATCTGTAGATGACTTAAATTCTCTCTTATGTATTTTATTATTACTAGTTTCACAATTATTTTTTTGTTTTTGGCCTTTACTGATCTTCCTAATGAATTTTGTAGGATAGTTATTTAACACTAACGCCTCTTCTATATGTTTTATTTCATCATTTAGGTCTTTTTTGTGCTACTACTCGGTTTGTTAAACACTCAACTAAGCCTGCCTTAACAGTTAACGGATGAGACAAATTAAAGTCTAAATATCTACTCGAAACCGCGGCGGATATATACTCGCCTGACTATTGTAGAAATATTACAAGGAAGGAAAAGTACCTACTGATCGGAAGACACAGCATCTTTTCAAACTAACAAAGAAAGGCGACTCAGGTCTCTGCAAGAACTGGCGCAGAATCGTACTCTTCTCTACGGCAAGTAAATTAATCATCCCGGAGAGACTAAAAGATTCACTAGATTCAAAACTCTGCCACCTTAAACAAAGTGTATTCAAGAAAAGCAAATCGTGTGCTGATCAAACTACAAAACTATGCATCGTCAACTAGACAGAGCACAGAAGACCAGTTACACCTTTATCTCAGCTTTATTGACTGTGAGACGGTCTTCGATGGTGTTGACTGCAAAGCAATTTCGAAACTTCTCCAATACTACACAGAGCCCCAAACCTTTATCAGCCTCATCTAACAGACATATGATGACGCCAAATTCCAAGTGTTTCACAATAGAAATCTCCATGAAGCCTTTGGTGTAAGGACAGGAGTAAACAAAAGGCATCCTACGATCACCGATGATATTCTTAATTGTGGCGAATCGAATGATACGGCAGTCCATAGGATGCGAGATGACACGAATACGTCAGACCGATAAGAAGACTTTAAAGGCTCTGGACTTCATGGACTATTTATCTAGATGTTGCATAAAATTATAAATCTACGGCAGAAAACCGACAAGTTGGTAGAGGAAAAAACAACCAGAGAAGACGAAACTGCAAGTGAACATAGAAAAGCGCTTAAGGTGATGAAGATACCTAATGAAATCAATAACAGCAGCAGTAGCCACAAGAACAAGCACCAGGTCCTTACTTATCAACAAGAGGAAATTGAAGGAGGTTACTACCTTCACTGATTTAGTCTCATTACTACTAAGCAACCAAATACATCCTCAGTCACTTTTTAGTAACTGATATTGAATGCCATTTTGCTTGCCTTGAACTTTGCAGGCGCAATGGAATTCAAACATACAGCCTGTTGATTGAAAGTTGACTAATGAAGACCAATAAGTTACACCTATGATACACACAAAGATAGATAAATCATAATTAGCTGGATTTCGCTTATTCCTTACAAACCAGTTAAGACTGTTGGCGAAAAAAAACTACCCAATCTCTTTCACACACACACACTCTCTCTCTTTTGCTCCATACTTACTAGAATATGGTAAAATCTTCAAGGCGATATGATTACCACTTTCACGTATCAGACGAACCACTTCATCATGATGTAGTCCACAGGTGGGAATACCATTTACAGCTAATATTTGATCACCGACAGACAGTAGACCCATACGCTCAGCTTGACTGCCAGGAACAAGTTGAGCTAATATGTAAGAAAAGAGACAGTTTATTCATTTATATATTTTATAATAATAATAATAAATAGTATAAAGCAATGCTGGAATTTCTTAGTTGATGAATTGAGGTTCACAAAATATTACTGAGACATATTTAAATAAATTATGTATCATTCAATAACCTCACCTAGTTCGACTGGTTGGTTAGCTAGTTTCCTAACCATCCCTAATTTTGGGAAAAGAGGGAGGGTTGGGTTGGACATGGGGCTAGCGACCATGACTGTCAACCTGCCTCGTTTCAACATAGAACTTTGCACCGATGTGCAGCAATTCAAGTCTTCACATTCCCTACTTGTGGCACATAAAGCAAAAGAGGAAAGTAAAAAGAAGTGGATAATAGAGAATGCTAATATCTAAGAACTTCATAGTTTTATTGGATATCTTAAGTCACAAGGAGTGGATACATCTGCGCCAGCCATCGAGAACGATTTTCATTCATATCACCAATTGTCTCCAGCTGTCATTGGTTTTTACCATCCCGAGGACCTCAACCACACAGCAGTCTATACCTAGCTAAGTCTCTACCTGGCTTAAACTAACTGTTGTGAATTTCATTGACTGGTGAGGCTCTGTTTTGATTTGACCACCACTGGCTCTTTTCCGACTTGATCCTATGTCAGTCGGCTAACATTGCCAATCGAGGAAGGCGATGACTAGGCTAGCATACGTAACACATCTCCTAACCATCTCAGTCGATGTAACTTCACAACCTCATCGATTGATTTCCCCTCCTTATTACTTAGCACTCGACCGATGCCTAATCTCAATATTGCTCACCCTAATATACCACCATTTAACACAGGAGATAGAAAGCAGGCATTACATAGAACGCTAGCGACCATACCCAAGAAAATCAATCTCACCGCTACAGAAACTTCAAAGCCGAAAACCAACACACTAGCAGAAGAAGCAGCGAACACAAGACATTAAGTGAATATAAAGAAGACAGGGTAGATGAAAATAAGCAACCAGCCAACAACAATAATGAGTACCAATCGCCATCAATAGAAGAAATTACAGAGTGTTCATTTCCCTCACTTGTCTGGCTAGGCAGCAACCATCATTTCAACTAAAGGCGACAGCACACATGAGGACATCATGACGAGAATCGGATAGGCAAGACAAACTTTCATCACTGTGAAATCAGTTCGGAAATTTGAAATCAACAGCATAAATAGTAAAATTCAGATTTTCAAAACCCAATGTTAAATCATATTAATATATGTGTACAACTTCGGCACCGTGGTGATAAGTAATTGCATAGTAGTTCGTTTATTAGATATGTCACACAGCCAATGAAACAGTATTATTATTTACTGGATTATACAGTTTTGAACACAATTTATTTAATGTTCATTATCATATCATCAATTATAGTCACACACGACTTCGAAACTTGAGTTTTATGGTTTTCTTTGTTCTCTCCTATTTGTCGTCGTTGGGGTAATAGAACTTTTCAGATATCTGGGACAGGCGTTGAAGCATTCCTATTACACGTGTTTGCAGTTGATTCGATAAACAAAGCTTCCGTTATCAATCCCTTCCTCCATTCACCTCGTTACATTAGATTGTAAAAACTGTCATCTTACCCATCCATCCTATTGTATGGTTGTGTGTAATTTCATGCAGTGAGTGCTATAGCTGAACTATTCTCTAGATTTCTTATCGTACCTGGGTCAACCAATCTACATTTTGCTAGGTTTTTATGCTCGGCTGGTCTGACTGCCCTGTTCTACAACTTTGATCTATGTATTTGACGTGACAATCATTCCAGCAGGGTATTAGTTAAACAAAATTGTTTTGTTTTAAAGAGGACCCATAGGATTAATCCTTTAACCAACAAAGCTTGTTTCTAATTGAGTTTGTGTGTTTGAATGCCAGTCAAATTTATTCCTGCCTTGTTAAGAATTCTCCGTAAGGTTTCGGAGATTCCTTCCTTGTATGAAATTTCTACTGATGATTTAGATTCCTTATTGTTGGTGTTGTCTTGTGCATGTTTGACACGCATGTCATCATTAATATTATTATTATTATCACTATCACTACTATCGTTATTTGTTTTATTTTTACATTTCCCTACATATTTTTGACTAATTTATCAGGGGAATTATTAAGTTTCAAAGCTTCTCGTATATGCCTCACTTCTTGTCTTAGATTTTCCCTGGTACTACTCAGTTTTTGTGCTCTATTATTTAAGAATTTGTTGATCGAATCAACTGCAAACACGCGCGATAGGAATGATTCAACGCCTGTCCCAGATATCTGAAAAGTTCTACTACCCCAACGATGACAAATAGGAGAGAACAAAGAAAACCATAAAACTCAAGTTTCGAAGTCGTGTGTGATTATAATTGATGATATGATAATGAACATTCAATAAATTGTGTTCAAAACTGTGTCATCCAGTAAATAATAATACTGTTTCATTGACTGTGTGACACACCTAATTAAAAAAAAACTAATATGCAATGTTAAGTCAGTTAGTTCTTCTATATGGGTCAGAAACTTGACTAGCGCATCACGATTAGCATTTCCAACAGACAACTGCAGACTGTCTCTTCCTTTTGCTGGCTCCATGTTGAAGATCACATGGCCAACTAGAAAGAATTAGGAACAAGGAACTCTGGGGACGAACCAACCAAGAACATATTGTTCAACAAGTATTTCGAAGCAAATGCAAATGGATCGCATGCTGAAGAGACCATAGAATGACATGATAGGGGCTAGGCCACTGGTCGAGCGGAACTCGAATGGGAAACGACAAGTGGGGTAAGGGTTCAAGGGTGAAATGGAGATCGATAGAGTTGGACTAGATGAAAGCCTAAAGGCAATCTTGGGGGTTAGGCTGTAGAGAACTATAGAGAACAGGACAAAGTGGAGGTGTGTTGCTGAAGCCCTATATTCCACTCGGAACTTAAGGGAACAACAATAATAATATCTGGGGTCAATTCATGATCAAAGCTGAAATTAAAATTCGCATAAATTACATTTACTAACTAATAATCGTTTGCATAAACATACCAATGAATTCTGCATTCTGAAGACTATTATTATTATTATTATTGCCTGGATATGAATGTTCCGGCTGAGAATTACCCAATAATGATGGTGGTCTTGTATTTGTTAAAAAGAAACCAAATCCATCGCCTTTTTCACTTCTTGAAATAACAACATCCACAGGTTCTGAAGAACGATGAGCAACACTATGATTATCTATTTCAACCTAACAAGCGAATAGATGAAACAACATTACCTTTAACGATAATAATCATAACAATACGGAGACATTATAAACAGAAAAATTAATGTTACTGTTAGACAGAACTCAACCGTGCCTAGTTTTCTAGCCAGTTCCTAAGCCTGACAGAAAAAGGGAGGGTTGGACGTGGTGAAAGCCTTCTGGAAGCCAGTCAGCCAGCCTATGTGTCTTCTTTCGACGAAAGCAAATATAAGAATGGGGGGCGTGGAATGTTACATAGAACTCAGTTCCTTTAATTCAAACACATCTAATGTGTAGGAGAGACTATAAGCCACATTTACTGTGTAGACAAGGGACTGATAAAACTATCTGTAGAAAGGGAAGATTGTTTGGAAAAGCCCTCCTCAACGATCGTATCACAATATTTATACTTATTTGGAGGTTACAGCCAACTTTATAGTTATTATCCTGCTTTCTCCTAGACTGTGTATATCATTGTTCTGATATTTGCATATCATGCGGTGACTTCATCCTTATTCATGTTTGTCTTTGTTCCTTCCCCCCTGTTTATTCTCTAATTTTAATACTTAAATTTGTCAGGCTTTACTCTAATCTACATAGATTTATATATTTTCTATAGTTTGGTTTGTAAGGATTAGTTATGTTTTACGGGTTGATCGCGGATTGATATCAGTTAGAGAACCATTGAAAACCAGGGAGTACTGGACAGCTGCTGTTTCATCCTAGTTTGGGAATCATCGGCAGTACGCACCCACTGGGATTCGAACCCGGGACCTTCCGGTTACAAGGCAAGCTCGTATACCATTCAGCCACTGGGACCCGAATTCAATGGCTCGTGAATTCTAACTTCTACTAGATTTATATGTAACAAAGGTAGTAATATGTGTATATGTAGACAATTCAATAAATAAATAAATAAGGTCAAATCTAAAAAGTTACGTAATACTAAAGGTGAAGTGGACAGATAATCAGAGTTTAAATAAATACCATAAAAGTACGAAGGGAATGGAAAATAAGGAGGGGTGAGAAGGTTTTAATTAGACATCACCTAGGCCAAGGGAGAGACAAAGGTAGAACAAACTTCTTTTGTTGTATGCAAAGACACTAGGATTGTCCTCTCGAATCAATTCCCATACCTTCGGTTATGTGTAAAAGGCGGGTTAGAAAGGCTCGATGGAATGCGACTACTTCTGCCCACTTGGTGACCACCATCAATCAAATAAGTCAATCAAATAGAACTTCTTATACATTTTATTTAACCTTTTCCGAACCATGAAGGAAAATGCTTATTAATGCGTTTGTTAGACTGTCTAGTTGTTCGCCCTATATAGCTCTCTCCACAAAAGCAACTAAATTTATAGATACACATAGAAGCGGCTCATTCAGAGAATCGTAACCAGGCAGTCTCTACACCTTCTTCTATGGCTGGCTCAAACCGATTTTCAAAGACTTCATGAATTCATGTCATGTTTTAATGTTACTGCCCGTAACTCCTTATCCTATGTCAGTTAAGATTGCTCTTCAGGAAAAGCAGTGTCCAGACATGTGTTTCCAAGCCATCTCAATCGATTTAACCCCACAACTTATTCGATTGGTAAATGAGTAGTATGATGACCATAGCTCGTTTAATTGATAGCGGTCACCAAGTGGACAGAAGAAGAAGTGCCTTCAAAGTCATCTATCACATACCATCGAGTCTTTCGAACGGAATTCGAATCCGTCTTTTACACATAGCCGAAGCTATGGGAATTAATTCGAGAGAACAATCCTACTCTTTGCATACAAAAGAAGTTAGTTCTACCTTTGTCTATCCCTTGCTTAGCCTAGGTGAATTCTATTCAAAACCCTCCCACCCTTTCTTATTTTCCATCTCCTTCGTATTTTTAAGGTATTTGTTTAAACTCTGATCATTTATCATTTTAAGATTTGACCTAATTTATTTATTTATTGAATTGTCTACATATACACACATATTACTACCTTTGTTATTCCTATCGCCACCTGCATAAACCCTACTATCAATATTTTGTTATCATTATAATCATCGTTATTAACTACGTTCAAAACATTTAACACATTATTATTTGATCCACAAAATCACCTTCATTGGTTAAAAGTTTTCTATATAAATCTACGTAGATCAGAGTAAAGCCTGAAGATCTAATTGAAAACAATATTGTTCGCCTATATATCTTGTTCTAATATTAGAAATAGGAATATTTAAAGACTTTTCTTTGTGTTGTTCTACGATGTTATTTTGGTTGCGTGAATGTATGAAGGTGATTCTGAACTTGGACTGTGTTAGGGTGATTTTTGGTGTGTGTGTGATTGATTCTTTGGGGATACAGAGCTTTGGATCCCACTCGATACTGTTGAATATATATTCTGGCTGATTTCAAGTACTCGTTTTGTATCCAGACTGGACTATATAACTGTCAAACGGCACTGATGAGGTAGTTTTGAGTTTTTTTATGTTCCTGCTGTTGAATAGAACTGCAAAATAATATCTGAGCGATTGTCTTTTTCCTGGAGTATTTCATGACCGTGTGTGTCTCAAGTAGGTTTTGTCAGCAGTTATATACAGTAGAATGCAGAGATCGATTTTGCTGAGCTCAGAAACCAGAACGAGTCGGCATTTGTCTTCATAATACTCATTTGCCAATCGAATAAGATGTAGGATTAAATCGATTGAGATGGTTAGGACACAGGTGTTGTTGCGCATGTCTGGACACTGCTTTTCCCGAAGGGTGATGTTAACTGACATAGGATAAGGTGTGAAAAGAGTTACGGATAGTTACATCAAAACATGACATCAGTCCATGAAGTCTTTGAAAATTGGTTTGAGCCAGACACATGGAGCAAAAGGTGCAGAGACTGCCTGGTTACGATCCACTGCATGCTAAGATTCAGTGCCTGCAATCTATTGGTGATATAGTTCGAAAAAAAATTGTTCAGTAGAGAAGATCCGTGCTCACTTTTTGTGACCATCTAGAATACAACAATAAACCCTCCTCCTATTATCACCTTACTCATCATTCCTTTCTCCTGTATTTTCCTGTACATTACAGATCTTCCTTCCTCTGTCTTTTTGTGTTATATGGGGTATGACAAATTAAACTGCTACACTTCTGTGCAAAGTTCTATATGCTGAAACTCAATCAATCAATCAATAAGAATCATTTAACCAGGCTGAAGTCATTGGAGTGAGATTCACACCTGAAACGCATTGGCTAAAAGCCAAGTACTCAAACTAATAAGATACGCTGCGTCGGTGGCGCAGCGGTTAGGATGCTCGCCGACCATGCTTATGGTCCGGGGTTCGATCCCCGGCCGGAGCACTCCTTTACCTCACTCAGCCAGAAGTAAAGCTGGTGAAGAGGAAAGGTTGGGCATGGGGCTAGCAACCCCATCCTGTAAAATTAAACACTGCTACAGAAACTTCAAGTCACTAGCTTGAAGCCCTATGTTCCAGCGCTGGGAACGTGAAGGAAAAATTATTAGTATTATTATAAATTACTATTGGCTAAACTTGAGCACAAAAAATCAAATACCTATACACCAACTCTTGAAAATATATAGGGCCTAATCACACGCTCTTGTGCTAGAAGACTTTAAATGATATATCACTTGAAATCGATTGTACTGGTTTAGATACACACACACCTAATAGACCACTCACATTATCTTTTGTTTCATTTTTAATTATATTATACACTTTTTTGTGTGTACTTTAATTGACCTTCTTTTGTCTTAACGAACTTCTTTATCGACTACTAAGACTCTTTACACTTTAATTTGTCTTTTGGTGTACTTCACAAATGATAAAGAAGAAAAGGAAATATCCAATTTCAAGCAGAATCCACTCATCCGTTTAGAATATATATATATATATTCAAGTATTGCTTTGTAGGGATTTGATTAGCTGGTTACAGGATTTGATCATGAGCTGGCATCCGTTAGAAAACCATTGGAAAACCTGAGAGTCCTGGACAGCTATTCTGTCAGACTAGTTCAGGACTCCTCATCAGTACGCACCCACCAAAAGGGTTCAAACCCAGGACCTTCTGGTTACAAGGATAGCGAGCTCATAGACTATTAAGCCACTGGGACCCGATCCAGTGGCCATCCCGTGAATTATAACTTCTGCCAATTCACGAAATAGCGCGACCGCTAAGACGAAACAGATGTCCAATACATATATATATATATATATATATTCTTATCTGATATGTTTCAGTTAATACTGAATACACAGGAACAATGACAGTGGTTCGATAAGCGTCACATAGAGATAGGAGACATTTATTTTCAGATACGAACTTAAAACAAGCAACTAAATGTATTAATAGGGTAGGATTTGATGAATCCATCAAGCTTCGGTAGAGGCAGTCTTCAGCTGAATACTCTACACACAAGGATACAACAAATGGTGAAAGCATATCAAAAGCTGAAGACCTATTGACAAAATTCAATTCATATAATCTGACTCTTAACTTCACAATAGAATACAATGAGAATGATACTATTAAATTCCTAAGATGTTTCTCAACTGGAAAGGATTGATACCACAGCGGAAAGATCTACATTTAGAAAGTCCTCGTGGGTAGGGAAGTTCACACAGATTTTGAAACTTTTGTTCCGATACAATACAGAAAGAAAAGAACACGGGAAATTTGTTTTGACGGTGGTACAACTGAGCATAAAATAAAGGCTCTGAAAGATATTTTATCTTAGAATGGATATGCTTGGAGGATTTCATTATGAGCTGACATCAGTTAGAGAACCATTAAAAAACCTGCAGGGAGAAATGGACAGTCATCTTTTCCATCTCAGTTTGGAACTCTTCATCAGTATGCATCCACCACTGGAGGTTCGAACCCAGGGCCTTCTGGTTACAACATGAGCTCGTAGACCATTAAACCACTAGGACCTGATCCAATGGCCCATAGCTCGAAGTGTTCATACTGCTGAAGAGTTCCAAACTATGACGAAACAGCTATCCAGTACTCGTGTGGGTTTTTCCAATGGTTCTCTAACTGGCGTCAACTCATAACGAAATCCTCCAATCAATCAAATAAAATCCCTACAAAATACCAATACTTAAGAATGCATATTCGGAAAAGTTTATCAATATATATATATATATATACTCTAAAGAAATGAGCCCTAGTAAGACCATCCAAACAGTTCCAAAGAAATCTGTATATATTAGTTTTGCTGTTCGAAGGAGATGATGTACAAGAAGTAGTTAGACGAAGACTTGATAAAGCTAACAAAAGAACGTATAATGCTTCTGCAAAATTCGTCTTCCTTAACACCACTAGGCGAGTGTGCTTCAGCAATCTGGGAAAGACCAGTCGCTAATCCTAGACACTTCAAACTGCCAATATCAATATGAGGGTGTTTAAGCAAGCAAATACATAGGTCGCACAGAAGGTCGATTGTAAACCCGCATGATGGAGCATTTGCCAAAAATGCTTGAAAAAAGCTGAAGTCAAAATCCCAGAAAGTTCAATAACAAAACAACTTGCAAACTACAGACATGATATTGACGCTGTTAAGCCATTCACCGTTATCAACAGACACACAAACATGGAGATGCCTGCAATTTTGGGGGAAACTACTTTCAAGAAACTCATTTCCTTTCTGGGATTCAGTTCGCCAATCATAGATGTTACCATTGAGGTATTCAAGCTCGAGATTGACTTCACATAGGACTGTATTGGAGACTTCGATTGGACACACTAGCATCAAAGCTAGGTGCAAGGCCTTCTGTCAATTACTTCCAACCATCCAATATCAACAATTCAAAGTGCAGAGTGATGTGGCAAGCCACCTAGACTGTTGGCAATATTGGAAACTTGACTAACGATAGAATTCAGTCTGCACCAAACAGCAAGGACTAGACACACTACACTAGTCAGTAACTAGTATCAAATCATTTAAACACCATTACAAATATTATTGATCAATTATAATTGTTACTATTATTAGCAACATTATTTAGTTCGCAATCCTTCATATATTCAAGTTCTTTCACTCACTGATAACTAACTAATTGTCTACTTAAGTGATGCAATTGAACCGTAATGCATGACCATCCTAATTTTATTATATCGCTGTGCGTGTTGAGTATCCAGCTGAAGAGTCCTACCGAAATTGGATGAATTCATTAAACCCTGGTCTTATTAACACCTTGTTTTGCTCCCTTTACACAGGGATATCTGGAGCTCTATAAAAAGTCTGTTAAAACAACCTTTAGATAAATAAACGGAGAGTAACCAAAGAATATGCACATCTGTGAAAAAGATCAAACTGGAAAGTTATAAGAAGGAATTATCAATATAAGCAAACTGGATAATTTCCTCTTTCTCTAGTTCCTTATTGCTGTTTATAAAGACGATTGGAACTAGTTTATGGAGAATTTAATTCGTACAGATGAACATTTTAGGAAGGGTTGTTGAACACGATTCATCTAGACAGCCACTTTCAGGAACATTAAACAACTATCAAAGTGATTGGTTAATATGACAGTTATTATATTAATTTGATTGCTTCTGCGTGCCATTTTTGAAAGATTCCTGGGTATGACTGTAATTCTTCATATCGGCCAACTACTTACTTATACGTTGATTCCATTATACAAGGATGCTGGATGCTGGAGATCTGTATATATTCCACAGTTATTGACTAGAATACATCGTGGTGTGGTGGGTACTACTGATAAAATTTATCAGTAGCATATAATGAAGAGATGTTCATCGGCATAAAAATATCAAATAGCAGGGAAATAGATTTGATGTCAGAAAAAAAGAAAATGTTACAGCCTTTCAGAGATACATGAGAGATGTGAAAGGAACACAAAGAAAAACCATATGAAGGAAGGCCAGAAGTAGCAGACACAACACGGAAGATTTGTGCAAAACTGGTGCGTTGAAGAAAAGGTGTACATAATTTCGCAATATAGAGATACGGAATTGCAAATAAACATTCCTTGACTAAATCTTTCGTCTTCTGGTGTTTTTTATTCCTTCACGTACCCAGTGGAACATAGGGCACCTCCAAGGTAGAGGCTTGAAGTTACGGTAGGAGTGATGTTCACTTTTAACGGGATGGAGTTGCTAGCTTCATGCCTAGCCCAACCATGCCTCTTTACCAGTCTTATTACTGGCTTAGCGAGGTAAAGGAGGAGTGTATCGGCCGGGTATCGAACCCCGAGCATTCTACCGATCTGTGCCACCGACGCACCTTCTACCATTAACAAAATGACATTTTTTATGGTGCCTATTATGTGCGAATTTCGTTTTTTTCGATATATAACCTTCCATTCTTTTTAAAATTTTCGATAATTATGATTTAGATAAAGCAATAAGAAGACGTAATTTGTTTGAATCGTGTGTTGTATGTATTTGCGCAACACATTTCGAACAATCTGATCACACACGGACTTGTCATAGGAATGTGTATATATGAAATTAATAAAGAGGTAAGAGGTGAGAAAAATAGACTTAGGTCAAGTTAAAAGGACATATTCAAGGTCAAAATAACAATGAGGATTATTAAATCGAATAACAGGTAGTAGTACATCTACTGCGGCTGGTATCAAAACAAAGTTTACCAAGGAAGGTTTAATGGGATGACGGATTGTTTTTGAACGCATAAACTTTATAATTGCTAGGGCTTCCAGAAACTTCAGGATACTCCCCAAACACGTTTTATAGATAGATATGTTTAAAAGATATGTTAACGTCAATTTTATGTCCTGTCTTTATAATATGTTTGGCAAAAGAGAAGCTGGGTCTCCTAATCTGATCATTAATGAGTTCTGAAGATTCCATTTGTTTCTGGAGGCATTTAGGAATGTGCTCTGAAGCCAGCTCTTACTTACAGAGATCGATGACTCCTCCCTATGTATGTGTGTCCACACGTACATTCAAATTGGTAAATACATTGGGATATGACATCATTTTTCGTATGTTCGAAGGGCTTAGATAGATATATTGGCTTCACATTATTCTCGATTATTATGACATAAGCTGCATAAAAAGTCTTTTTAACGGCAACATTCAGTCTTTGTCTAGCTATAAAACTGCTATGATGCCCCATATAATTATTATATCAAAATAATTATGTAAAATACTAATATACTACTTTTTGACTTAAGATTTGATTAACACTTACTAGAACCGGAGCTTACTAATGCGATTTAGTCATTTCTAGATTCAAAACTAATTGACATAAATGCTAGTTTGTGGTGAACAACATGCAAATGCATATGAAGGGTAGACTTAATGATAAATTATAGTGTTCGATTCCCAGAAGCACAACAACAACAACAACAATAATAAATATAAACTAACTCACCTTGCCTCTTTGTAGACCCAATGTCACTTGACCTACTGTATGAGCAGCTCTATCCAGCAAATCAACAACTTCAGCATGTGTTGCACCGATAACACGTACACCATCGATTGAGATCAATTTATCGCCTGTGCGTACAACACCACTCAACTGAGCGGAACCTCCTAAGAGCATTGCACCTATAGATACCTGTAGAAAGCAAAACACAAGTGAATATATGAAGAAAAAAGACTCAATAACAGTCTATATGACGTAATAATAAGAAATATGACAAAGAGAGTTGCAGAAAACAAAATCTTTATACAACCAGTTCCTTTTATTAGTTTGAATACAAGAGGCTCGTTCAGTCTCTGGTGTAGACGTGATATCCAGCTATCGAAAAAAGGGCGGGTGTACTGTTCAGCAGTCCGCTCCGTCCTCTCTTATAGCTGTGAGCGATGCATGGCCACTGAAAGTGGAAGACATGAAAAGCCTTGCTAGCTGTTTCTGATCATAGGTGTCTGCGTTCTATCTCCCGTGCAAAGTGGCATCATAGGGTGAGCAATATTGAGATGCGGCATCGGTTGAGTGCTAGGTAGGTGGGAGGGGGAATAAATCGACGAGGCTGTGAAGTTATATCGATTGAGATGGTCAGGACATGTGTTACGTATGCCTAGCCTTCCTCGACGGGCAAGTTGCTGGGATAGGATGGATCAGGTTGGAAAAGAGCTAGTGGTGGTCAAACCAAAACATGACTTCATCAGTTTACGAAATCCACAACAGTTAATTTAGGGCAAGTATACAGGTGTAAGCTCCTCGACTGCTCGGGGTCCTAGGGATGGTAAGAGCCAATAAAGGCTGAAGACAATTGGTTATGTGGCTGGAAATAGTTGTCAATGCCTAGCGCAGATGCATTCATTCTTTGTGATTTATCATATCCAATAAAATTCCATTGTTCTTCCATGATACCATTCTTTTTATCTCATATTTGTGTTTATTATCTCTCTCTCTCTCTCTCTCTTGAACCTCTCTTTACTCTCTTCTCTTTCTCTATATGCTACACAGAAGGTGTGGAAACTCGAACTGGTGCACATCTGTGCAAAGTTCCACGCTGATACCAGGCCAGTCAGTAGTCAGTCAGAATATAACTTTGAAAGACTTTCCATAAATGGAGCTAAAATGGCCTAATTTCAACAGATATGTTCTGTTACAATCTATGTAGGTTTTTCTGACTAGAAAGGCTAACGATAACTGCACACACACACACACACACTAGGTGTATTCAACTAACCGTATGACTTAATATTTGACATGCTACCTGGAGTAGTGGGTACAAAATGGAGACATAAGAGGGTACAGAACAGAACATAGAATGTATGTGATGACAAGTACCAAACATTGGGAAATGATGTGAAAAAATAAACCTTAGGAATTATGGTAAAGTTTTTAATTAACTTTATATACAATACTACATCCATGGTGTGGTACATCAAGTGAAATTAGTACAGTTACGTAACAAGAATCTGCATTTTCATTTTTCATTTTATGTTGCCTTGTACAGACAATAATACTCTTAGGATACAATTCATCACTTGTTTGTTTGTGTATGTGTGTGTGTGTGTGACAACTACATGCATATGATGCGACTCTGTCGCCGAAAACAGTCGTCATTGTAGTGGAGCCGTATGCAGTTGTCTTTCATACTGTGTTCAGTAACTGACTTTATGACTTACATTACTCTCTAACTAAGTTCTTGAATGTGAAATCAAGTGCAGAAATGAAAGGGACTAAAGTATACTAACACAGTAATTCAATTATTAGATAACACGGTTTCATAGTCTACCACCGGGGATCCTACACTTTCAGAAACCGACTGTGTGACTGCCCAACTGACTGACTAGTTTCAACACTGAACTTTGCACAGAGATAAACCAGTTCCACTTTCTACACTCCATGTAACACACAAACGTATAGAATAGAAAGATTGAAGGAACCGAAAGAACCATCATAAGCAGAAATGCCAGGGAGAAACAAGAGTAAACATAGACACCGACAAGAAATGAATTTTCGCAATTCAGAAGGAAATCGAGACATATAACAAATTGTCTCCAGCTGTCATTGGTTCTCACCATCCTGAGGACTCCCAGTAGTCTTTACGTGACTGGCTGGCTTAAACCAACTGTTGAGGATTTCGTTGACTGAAGCCGCCAACTTTTTGTTTGACCACCACTAGCTCTTTTCCAACATGATGCATCCTAAATCAGCAGCTAACATTGCCCCTCGAGGAAGGCAATAGCTAGGAATGCGTAACACAGCACATGTCTTAACAATCTCAATCGATGTAGTTTCACAACCTAATTGATTGATTTCCCCTTTCACTTATATAGCACTCAACCGACGCCGCACACCGCAATACTGTTCACCTTAGTAAACCACTTTATACAGGAGATAATACGCAGATGCCTATGATCAAAGTGAGCGAGCCAGGATTTTCATATCTTTCGCTTTCAATGACCGTGTCTCACTCACAGCCATAACGGGGGATGGGAGGGACTGCTGTAGGGCAGTATACACGTTCTTTGAATGATTGTCACACCTTATAACTTCATTCCCCATCTTTATGCTAGCAGGACTTTCAAAACCGTTAACGATATTTTGACGGCTGTTCTCATTTTTCCGTTGACCGTCAGCTACTAATCTTTCTTAAGATGCAGTTTTTTCATGAGGAAGGTAAAAAATTCTGATACATGACAAAGTGAAATGCAAAAATATGTATCAGGATGATTCAAATAGAGGAAATTTCACATTTTCAAGTGTCGGTTTGCGGAGATTTAATTGGTTTTAAGTTGAATCACGGATTGGCATCAGCTACACAAACCACTGGAAACCAGGAGTTACCTAGAAAATTGTTTTGTCCTACTTTCCGATTCTTCAATAGTACATACCGATGACCCCGGTAGTGGTCGAACCCAGCACCTTCAGACAGGGAGGCCAGCCAGTCGATTGTTGATCATGGATATAAGAACAAAAAGTTCGGCGAATTTATTCACTCAGCTGTAAAGTCACATTATTTTGTGTGTGTGTGTGTACATTAGGATTGTCAAACAAAAATAAAAATTAGTTAGTGCCATTGTTTACGTCATCAAAATATTTCAAAAGTGTGATGGATGTTTAAACTGTAACTTAGGGGAGGATGAGTACTGGAAAGGGTTGTGTAATATGAAGGACACTCAGAAGAAATAGGATGTTTCGATAAAGAATGGCAGTCACCTCTCTATCTCAACTTCATCGACTTTGAAAAGGCCTTCGACAGCGTCGATCGAGAGGTCATTTGGAAACTACTTCGCTACTACGGGGTCCCATCGACAATTATACATCTCATCCAACAGTTATACGACAATGCTGCATGCCAAGTAATCCACAACGGGAAACTTACGGAAGCCTTCGAAGTGAGGACGGGAGTGAGGCAAGGCTGTCTACTATCACCAATGATCTTCCTGATTGCAATTGATTGGATAATGTGACAGACAACGGGCAATGAGGAAACAGGAATAAAATGGACTCACACAAAAAACTTGGAGGATCTGGATTTCGCCGATGATATATGTCTGATTTCCCACAAACTGGAAGATATGCAAGTGAAAAGTAACAAGTTGGCAGAAGAAGCATCAAAGATAGGACTTCAAGTGAACATAGATAAAACAGAGGTGATGAAGATTCCTAGCCAACATCAACAGCAACAACAACAACAGACAACAATCAGCATAAGTGGGAAGAACCTGAAAGAAACAACCTCCTCCACCTACCTACTTGGGAAGCATCGTTTCAACTACAGGCCGACGGAACTGACGAGGATATCAAAGCCAGAATCGGAAAAGCAAGACAAGCTTTCATTACTCTCAAACCTGTGTGGAGGTCAACAGCAATCAGCATCAAAAATAAGATCCGGATTTTCAACTCCAATGTGAAGTAAGTCAGTGCCACTTTATGGATCACAAACTTGGTGTGTCATAAAGAGCACATCAAAACAAACTTCAGACCTTCATCAACAGCTGTCTTCGCTCAATACTCAAGATCAGATGGCCAGCAAGAAAAGATCAGCAACAGGGATCTCTGGGAGCGAACCAACCCAGCAGGAACCGATTGTGAAACAAATCTGCAGGAAGAAATGGAGATGGATTGGCCATACGCTGAGGAAACCATCAAGTGACATCACTAGACAAGCCCTCGAGTGGAACCTGAAAGGGAGGCGGCGAGTTGGTCGTCCAAGGGTGACTTGGAGGAGGTCATGCGAGGAGGAGATGAAAGCATGTGGACAGACCTGGAGCAGGGTGAAAAAGTTGTCAGAAAACCGAAGGCAATGGAGGTGCGCAGCTGAAGCCGTATGTTCCTCTAGGAACTAAAGGATACAATAATAATAATTGTAGATGATGACTTTGAATGAATTCACCTTATATATTGAGTGACCAGTGTTAAATATATGTTCAATTATAGAAGTATTCATCGACCCACTGCTACCTATTCGTAGCCAAGCAGGATGATGTTATCTTACGTTTTTAGATAAAACACGCATCGAATGACCTACATATATTTTTTCCACATGAACAAGTAAATTGGTAGATACACAGACTGTTGTCCAACCACTGAAATGGAACTAGATTACTCATAAATCCTAACTTCTTTCAATTCTTGATACATAGCGACAACTCCACACAATGCTGTCGGTGAGTATACGTCCTCACATCCAAACTGGTAGGACCCATTGGTCACAATTTCTTATTAGAAATCTAGACAACTTTATCCTATAGTCATTCACCAGGATGCATCAGGTCAATTTTTCAATGTTGACTGCGCTACATATTGCAAGGGTGAACGATTCAAAGACGCTGAACACATATGATTTGCTGGATACCGAGACCAACCATTATTATATTGTCACTATGAATACCATGCACGAATTGAGAAGCAAATTTCATCCTGATCTTATTTATAAGTACTATTCAGTTTAGGATTAGGCTCAGGGTTAGGATCATAGGTAAGGTTACGATTACGGTTGCGTCTTTCTCTCTCTCTCTGCTCTTTGACTTCGTCATCTCGGATTGATAAAAGTTAGAATTCATGGGCCTTTGAACTCCATTACCAGTGACTAGGTGGTCAACAGACTGGTCTCGAAGCCTGGAAGTCGTGGATTCGATCCCCTCCAGTGAGGGAGCATACGGAAATGTACTGCTGAAGATTCACAGAGTAGGATGAAACAGCCATCCCGGACTCTCTGGTAATCAATGGTTATCAAACCGCTGTTAATTCATCACAGATAGATTTTTCGAACACATCAACTCGAAGGTAGAGGGCAATTCAATTCACTTATGATGAATTGGAAAGTCAGGAAGGGGAACTTCTAATGTGAGATCGCAACGTGAAAGGGAAAGAAGATGGGAAGTTAAACACTAGTGTGTGTTTACAGGAAACCCACACATTTAAACAGATATTTGGACTTCCGATCATCCCATCCTATGTCAGTAAAAATAGGATTGATGAAATGTCTAAGTGACAGAGCACAAAAACTAAGTAGTATCAAGGAAAATCTAAAACAGGAAGTGATACACATAAAAGAAGCTTTGAAACTTAATAATTATCCGGATACAATGGTCAAAAAAGACGTAAAGAAATGTAAAAATGAAATAAATAATGATAGTGGCGATAGTGATAATAATAATAATAATAACACTAATAATAATAATAGTGATAGTAATAACAATCCTAATAATAATATTAATGATGACATCAACAATAAGGAATCTAAATCATCAGTAGTATTTCCATACAAGCAAGGAACCTCGGAAAGCTTACGCAGAATTCTAAACAATGCTGGCAGAAATAAAAGTGGCTGGCATTCATACCTACAAACTCGATTAGAAAGAAGCTTTGTTGGTTAAAGGATCCTGTGGAGCCTTTGAAATAAAACCACTTGGTTTATCTAATACTCTGTCTGCAATGATTGTCAGGTCAAATACGTAGGGGAAACTGGTAGAACAGGTTCAGTCAGACTAGCTGAACATAAAAACCCAGCAGCGAAATCTAGATTAGTTGACCCAAATAAGATAAGAAATCTAGAGAATAGTTCAGCTATACCACTCGCAATTACACACAACTATACAATAAGATGGATGGGATAAGATGACAGTTTTTACAATCTAATGTAACAAGGTGAATGGAGGGAGGGATTGATAACAGAAGCTTTGTTTATCGAATCAACTGCAAATACATATGATAGGAATGATTCAACACCTGTCCGCCCAGATATCTGGAAAATTCTACTACCCCTACGACAAATAGAAGAAGACAAAGAAAACTATATAACTCAAGTTTCAAAGTCGTGTGATCAAAATTGATATGCTTATGAACAGCAATTAATTTTGTTCGAAGCGTCATCCAGTAATAAATACTGTTTCACTGTGTGATACACCTAATAAACAAACTAATATGGAATACATCATCTTACTGGGAAAATTTAAACCTCTAAAGAAAAGAAGTCATATTATTTTTTGGAGCATAATTTTAATTGCTATCTGAGTTGGCTAGAATCACCGAGAATTTCTGTGAAAAAAAAAGAAGGGAAGACAAATAAAATAACCCACCTGAGTATTTTCTTCAGCTCCACCGACTAGATTAAATCCAAAACCAGTTGATTGTCGTTTCAAGTGAACAAGAAACTCTCCAGGAAGCATACACAATGGTGCTGTTGCTGGAGCCGGTTTTGTTGATGATGATTCTGTTGTCGCTGAGGGGACATTAGTAGCACCATTATTAGGTCTACTATTGACAGTTGATTGTGAATGACGTAAGGGGAGCATACGGCCAGGTCGAAGTAATGAACCATATGTGACTGATGAATTCGGTGATCCAGAGGGGAAGGTATCCTTATTCATACCAACAACTGGAAAAGAAATAAAGCTACAGCATATATACATATATATGTGTTTGAAAACATTTTAAAAATTAGCAATTTGTAATCTATTCAGTAAGGGGGGTGAATTTATTACTAAAGTTTATCTTGCATACCAAGTTATTCAAATAACAATACATTTGCCGCTTTGAATGGTAATCAAGCAGGTGAGCATATTTATTATTATATATTATTATTCCTGTGAGTTCCAAGTGGGACATAGAGATTCACAACATCACGTCTTCACTTTTTTTCTATTTTGTGCCGTTCTCTTCAGCTGGATCCGTGATTATCTCATAATCTCTCATCTCCTCCTTCGCGCCACACCATCTCCTACATGACACCCCACCTTCGCACCGACCACCCACTCGTCACCACTTCCCATTCGGACTCCAATCTAGCGATGGCCCGTAGTCCATGCGATGCCTCCTCAACGCATATCCACTTCATCTCCATTTTTTCCTGGTTGGTTCACTGCCTACGAAAGTTTCATGTTGCTAATTCTTTTTGGCCGGTCGGATAACCATTCGATCTTAATTATGAAGACAGTGACAGCGGCAGCTATTGATAAAATTCTCCAGTAACTTGTCGAAAGTGATTCCGTAACATACCGGCCAAATATCTGAACCGTATAGAAGAACTGACTAATGTTACATTTGTGTTGAACATTCGAAACTTGTTCTTTATTCTCGTCGAGTGACAGCAGAAGATTTCCAAAATGGCCTCAGGTTGATGAAAGCGTATCTAGCCTTTCCAATTCATTCGTTCCGCCTGCCTGCGGTTCAAACCAAGCTTCCTGGTCAAATAAGTTCAGGAAGTAACATCTGTCAAATTATTCCCGTTGATAGTGACTGATGATGGTTGTTATTGCTGTTGATTGGTTATCTTGGTCACCGATTGAGGTGATCCGAATTGTTAACTAATTTGCCAATTATTAATCTGATTTATTTTGAAATAATCCTAACTAACTTTTTATTCTCTTCATAAAACTATATACTACTGATTAACTGAAATGAGTAGCCGCATACCCCTCATATCAACCAATAGTGCTTACTGGCTAGCCAGGTCGAGGCGATCTAAACACCGTTAAGACGGCCGTTTCGCTCCTTTGACGCCGGGCTCATAAGTGATTTACCCGGTCTGAATCAGTCACACCCGGTCAAATAAACCAACTGATTTCCGGCTGGTTGATATATCGAAAGCACACTACTACCCATCTCAGTCAGTCAGTAGTTTATAGATACGTCGGTGGCACAGCGGTGCAGTGCTCGCCGACCATGCCTCATATGATCCGGGTTTCGATCCCCAGCCATAGACGCACCCCTCTACCTCGCTCACTAAGCCATTAATAAGACTGGTAAAGAGGGAAGGTTGGTTTGGGCATGAGACTGGGTAGCAACCCCATCCTGTAAAAATTAATCACCGCTGCTACAGAAACTTCAAGCCTCCAGCTTGAATCAGTCCAACGTTGTTCCACTGAGAACGTAAAGGAATTAGAAAAAAGAACAATACACAATACCAACTGAAGACACTGATAAACTATCGAGTAAAGTTATTGCTCCCTGTATTGGGTGATGGTGAAAATCAGTTGAACCAAGAATGAGTATTTCATCCCATTTCGGGTTCATCCCAGCTAGGTACACTTGCATTCCTAGGAGGTGATGACGTACCACATGAGGCTTACACCGTACATCCATCTTTTCAACAAAACATCATCCAACACATAAGGATACAACTTGGGCATTGTGGTAGAGTATAATTCCATTATGGGAAAAATTTTATTTTGATAAATTGTCACATAGTGTTTTACAGTAAGTAATATTTACGGATGATCACTTTTTGAGCAAAAATTATTGCTGCTGATAAGCATATTAAGTCACTCTCACACAACTTTCACCCTTCATTTATATACATGAATGAAATTGATGATGAGACATTTGAATATGATAGAGAAGATTTGTAGCTCAGGTGGATGATTTCGATGTGGTTTTGTTCTCTGAGCTGGATGGTTAATTTGCGAAGCTTTCATCACCCTACTGGGTGACATCTTCAGCGCATACTTCAATTTGAAGTGAGCTTTTAGATTTCTCCACGAGTTTATTAATCATCTCCCCTGGTGACCTTGGACGTGATTGGTTGTTTATGTGTGTTTTCACATCTTCTAGGTTATTTGTATTGGAATTGATTGTTTCTTTGATTTGAATTGACTCAAAAGACATAGAGTTGACATAGAATCACTCAATTCTATGTCAACCAAAAGACTCAACAGCGAAAGAAGATAAAACCAACATCATCTACAAAATAAATTGTAACAACTGCGAAAAACACTACATTGGCCAAAGTGGACATCCCCTTCGTCTTCGTATCCACGAACATAAGCTAGCCGTCAAAAGACATGACATCCACTCCCTCATATCATATCACTACATACAGATAACTACGAACATCAGTTCGAATGGGACAACGTTCAAATATTAGACAGAGGAAACAACAAGAATGCTAGAGAATTTTTAGAAGCCTGCGTGGCATTCCAGTGAATCATCAATCAATAGACACATCGAGATAGACAAAATTTATCAACCAATAAGAAAGAAACTTCACACACAAAGGGTCAAAGTTCAAATCAAACAAACAGTCAGTTCCAAAACAAGTAACCTAGAAGATGTGAAAACATACATAAACAACCAATCACGTCCAAGGTCACCAGGAGAGATGATTAATGAACTCGTGGAGAAATCTAAAAGCTCACTTCAAATTGAAGTATGCGCTGAAGATGTCACCCAGTAGGGTGATGAAAGCTTCGCAAATTAACCATCCAGCTCAGAGAACAAAACCACATCAAAAGACATTTGAATAAAACTCAAACAAAATAGGATAATGTATATTCAGAAATAATAATAATGATATGAGTGTTACTGTGATATATATACCCATATAATATGTGTGTTTGTTTCACAGTCTGATCTTGGTGGCATGTATCCATATAAATTGTCTGTTTGTTTGACAGTCTGATATATTTTGCTATGTATATATGGATCGATATTCCATTATAATTAGCCAATCATGTTAAGACTGTCTATTGATTTGTTCATTTTGAATATTCGCTTACACACTTGTTCGGACATTCATATATTTTTTTGCTCTCACACTCTTGTGTGACATTTATTGATTATCCTGGTGTTTTGGAAAATAGAAGTATCATCGCAAACCTAGTGGTCTTCTGATTTCCGTCTTTCTTGCGTCAGGACTATTAAATTCTCAACCAGTACATCACAATAATTTGGCGACGACAACATAATATACTGATCAATAACAATCAGATGAGAGATAAAAAGAGTATTTTCATGGTCAAAATAAGTAACTTGTTAGAATGTTATAATGTCCATGAATTGAAATAGAATTTTAAGATTATTTATTATCCTCCTCCTCTGATTTGAGTCATTGGGAGTAATCATATCTTGCATGCATATCTCTGTTATTTGCAATGAGTGAATTCTATTGCATGCGTTGTGTTGGGTGTAGTCTCGATGAACCCTGATTTAGTAATCAATCTCTCTGCCACCTGCGTCGGTGGCACATTGGTTAGGACTCTCGCCGACCATGCACATGGTTCGGGGGGTTCAAGCCCACGCCGGCGCACACCTGATATCTATGGTCGGCCTGCAAAATTTGGGCTACCGATATCCATGCTGAAAATTCCATACTTGTACAAAAAATACAGTGTGGAATCAAGCTGTAAATCAAAAATAAAATAAATATTACTTAGAATTTTGACTCTGTCCCACCCACCCTACTGTGTGGTTGTGTGTTGATGCATGCAGTGCGATTGCTGAGTTTTCTTTTCTTCTGAATTGCTATTTTCGTGGGATCAATCATTTTAACCTTGGCTAAATTCTGATGTTCCGATAATTTGACTACTCCGGATCTACAAGTTTGACCTATATAGTTGACCTCACAGTCATTGCAATGTATTTTATAAGTTATATTATCTTGTTCAATTAGGTCTACCGAGTTCTCTAGCCTATAGAGTTTGTCTATGAGTGAGTTCGTAGGTTTCAATGCATCCTAATTCATCTGTCTGTCTATTTTCCACATAGAACTTTGCACTGATGTGCGGCAGTTCAAGTCGCCACACTCCACTCCTCGTAGCACACAAAGCAAGAGAAGTAGAAGAAATGAATAATAGCGACAGTAAACAGAGGTGTGAAACAAAGGAAAAGTAATAACGGAGAACAACATAGTTCCATTGGACATCATAAGTCACAAGGAGTGGATGCATCTCCGCCAGCCATTGAGAACGACGATTTTGAGCCATGTCACCAATTGTTCCAAACCATTAGTTTTTACCATTCCGAGGATCCCAACCAGAAAGTCTAGATCTACCTACTTGGCTTAAACTAACTGTTGTAGATTTCACTGACTGGTGCCATGTTTTCGTTTGACCGCCGCTAGCTCTTTCCTAGCCTAATCCTATATGTCAGCTAACATTTCCCGTCGAGGACGGCGATGGCTAGGCTAGCATACGTAACATATGTCTTAACCATCTCAGTCGATGTAATTTCACAGCCTCATCGATTGATTTCCCCTCCTTACCTAGCACTCGACGCCTAACCTCAATATTACTCACCTTATTATACCACTTCGTACAGAAGATAGAGCGCAGGCACCTATGATCAGGCCATCCTAATTCCTGCTTTATTAATCCATAATGGAATTATCCAACAAAATCACCCAACGAGAAACGCAGAATCAACCGAAAGAAACTGATAAACAGTTTACCTAACCAACCAGTTAGTTGGTTAGCGAGTCGGTTAGCTAAAAATCTATCCCTTACAATTACACTGGAGTCTAAACACATCTAGGTAAACTTATATAATTTTATATGTGTGTATTATCAAATAACATGAAAGTGTATACAGATAGAGTTACATGTATACTTATAATAAAAGGATAGATACTTAAGTAGAGAAAAAAAGAGAAAGTCAGAGCTT